TTACTTTTTTACCATTTACTATTAAAAAGTCTTAAAACATGTTAATTTCAGAGTGACACCGAATGATTACATAAAAAGGCCTTCATATTATATTCAATAAGTTAAATTTTATTTATAGCTTATAATATTTAACATAAAAATCACAGTATTTAATTTACAGTAAATTATACACAGAAACACATATAGTCTTTGCTTATAGCCTGAATGTAGACATAACAAAAAAATGGCACAATTATACAACACTTAACATCATTTTTTTATAACAGCTGTAAAGGACAATATGAGCCATCAAGTTAAGTAACTTGGACAAAATACAATGCATAAGAAGATAATGTTGACGACATAAACAACATTTCAGCATGAATATGTGAAGATTAATGTGTATTTAAATGATATTTGCTAGACTATTTCATTTATTTAATGTCATATATAAGCAGTATAAAAGTGGTCAGTATTTATGCTTAGAAAGATTAAATTCTGTGCACATGCAACTGATTTATACTGTGTGATTTGAGCATGAAGGTTGTTCTTAAAAGTGTTTTTTTTTTCCTTTTTATTTCAGTAATTACAGTCCATGTATGTGCTCAGGTTGAAGTTCATACATTTAAAGAATGGCATAAATAAAGATGAAGCTAATTGTTTCTTTTTTGAAGCTTCTCTTTCATTCCCCAACATCTGCATTCATGCATTAAGGTCCAAATGATTGTGTTTAGTGTTATTTGATTAAAAGTTACAATCAAGTGTTTAAATTGTTTTGTTAAATAAATATTCTTTCAAAACTGTTTCAACATTGATGACAATAATAATATCCAGGGTTCCCATTCTAAGCCAAAATGTTAAATTCCCTGACTTTCACAGACCTAAAAGCAGAATTTACATGATTATTAATAGATAAACAGGTAAATGCAGTGTTGAGCAGTTTTTTAATATGTTGTGATCGCTGAATTTAACACAAAATCAAGCAAATTGTGCACAATTTATTTATTTTTTTGTGATATCCTACAAATTTTATATCCGAAGACATTATAAAAATGCTTTTCTTAAGATTTTTTTCTTAAATCAAAAAGCATTTTCTAGACCAGGAAAACATATACAGACTTGTTTGAAGAAATAATGTGGTAAAATTAAGTGAGTTTCTCTTTAAAATAAGCAAAATAATCTGCTTATGGGATAAATATGTCAAAGGAAAAATGATTATTTTTGCTTGTTTTAGGGAAATTTTTGAAGTTATTCATGATATAAAACAAGACGATATGTTTTGCTCATCAAGAAACTGCTTCTTGATTTAAGAAATTTTAGATATAAAAACAATCTAAGTGAGAAAAGGATTTTTAGCATTGTTTTATATTCACAATTAGAATGTGCTCATATGGTGTGTGATACCTCGAGTTGTCATGAACATGGGCTCATAGGCACTTCTCCTTAGGTGACTGTATCATGTGACATCGCAACGCGCAATCAGCCAAAGCTTATTTAAAAACGCTAAAAAAAAATTGTTTGTTTAAAAACTTATTAAAAATGAGGTAAAACAACTCAATTATTAAGATTTCGTAGGGACAACTTAATTTTTTCACTTTCAAATGTTGTCAAATCTGTAAAGCTAATAATCGATTTGTGCTGAAACCATATGAATGGATTGAGTGGAACCCTGCATATTTTACAGTGAAGATTACATTTGTTGTATCTGCTAAAATGAGTAATTAAAACATTTTCTAATGTTATTGTTGAAGAGATTTTAACTGTTTTGTTTATTTTGATATTTAGAGCAGGGGTGCTCAAACTTTTTCTTATGAAGGGCCTAAAACCAAAACTAGATTGAGGCTAAGGGCCGAAGGTAAATATAGCTGTATAGTTTATTTAATAATATTTAAAACTAACTAGAAATTGATTTGCTCGCAGATGTCTTCTGCATCGCCTCTTTCTGTCGAGTGACAGTATTTACATTATTACAAAGTATTTCTTTACGTATTTACAATTAACATTTAAATAAAACATTTCATTTCTGTTGGCTTTTTTGTAGCTTAGCAATAAAACGAATAAACATAAAAGATTATTTTAAATTAAACATGACAATCTCTGTCAAAATAATTCGCCCTAACGCTGCCCATCATTCGTACTCTTTTCTCAGACGGAATGATGGGCCAAATCAAAGGTTACCTGCAGCCCTAGTTTGGGCATCTCTGATTTAGAGTCATCTTTGTATAAAATATGATGTAGTAGGATTTATGCACACTGTAAAATGGCTGAGTTCAACAAATGAAAGTGGAATGATCATAAAACAGTTAAGTTGTCCTGCAAAAAAGAAGAATTGTGTTGCTTCAACTCATTTTAAATAAGTTAGGAAAGTAAGGAACAAGAAGCAAATCTTTTTTTGAGTGTTGTTATGAGACCAGAAGTCATTAAGGTCAAACAAGTATTTGAACTAAAATGTGTAAATTTGTGTACATGTTTACAGCATAACACCACATGTCAGCCTGATCTCACGTGAAAATGGAAGTATTTTACGTTTTATCAGTTTAGTGACGATTTTAAAAAAGAGGCTTGGCACCTAACCCCACCCCTAAACCCAATCGTCATTTGGGGATGAGCAAATTGTACTAAATTGTACGAATTAGCTTGTACAATTTCATACGAATTATCCACTAAATCTAAAAGTTACGAACTGCCATGAGATTGTGTTGGAAATGTTGCAAATATACAATGACAAACAAAAACCCCTAATATTCCAAGACCTTTGATGTGTGGGAACCTAGTATATGCAATGCACCAAAATCAGCATTGATAATAATATGAAACGCACCAATTACACACATTATGACTTCTGAAAGACTGTGACATATTGAAGACTGTAGTAACGACTGCTTAGAAAAAATCATGGCAAAATATTGCAAAACACAAACTTTCAAACTGAATGGGAAGTGAACAAATATTATACTATAATTCTATAAAACTGGACTTAAGAGACAACTGACATCATTCAAAGTGCCCCGGGCACATTGCCATTGTCAACTGAGGTCTGTGGTTCCACCTTTATAAAATTCCAGTATATTTGGAAGCGATTCAAAGAGCATCGAGTGCATGAGAAAACGACCAAAATGACCAAATCATGGCTTATGCCAATGAAATAATCCTTATAGCTTCAGCAGCCACTAAAGGCATAACGAATTCTGGCTTATGTCATTGAATTGGTCTGTGAGACTTCAGCAGGCGCTAAAAGCATGAGCAATTCTGGCTCAAATGGGATGATTCTGTGACCACACGAAAGCTACAGTGACCACAAACACCAAATTGTCTGTCGTGTTTGTCGTTTTCCAGATGACTAATCAATGCTTGCACTGGAACTAAAGCCTTCAGAAGTCTACAGCATTTGGAGTCATCAAAGTTAACTCAGCAAATACTACAGTATATAGAACGTTGGTGGTTAAAAGATGGTGGCAGTGTAAACTGTGATCCTGATCATTCCCACAATAGCAATGAAACACATAGTATTTTGAATACGCTGTGGTTAAGAGACACAGTACAAAGAGTTTCAAGAGTTCACACCTAGCTGATGATTGATTATAAAGCTTGTTTGGCATGCTGTCCCGGGAGAGGGCACTGAGTTCATAAGATCCTCAAGCACAGGGCTCCCTTCTGTTTGCAAGGTGAGAGGGGAGTTTGAGCTCAGGTAGATCTCGAGAACTCCCCTGCTGTAGTAGTGAATGAACAGATAGTGATTGCTCTTAAAAGATAACTACTTACTAGGAGCATGTCGAGGGTGCCGATTTGGATTATTCAATTAAACTAAGTTGCATGTTTTTGGAAGGTGGAAGGAAGCCTGGGAACCCAGGGGAAACCCACGCAAGCACAGGGAACCCTGAGTGAGCTGAGGTTAAAAATACCTCTCTTTCAACACTCGTTGCTTCTAATTTTGACCCCATCTAATCTCTAAATTAATGAAAATACTTGGGTTTTATCCAATCAGATATTAAAAGAAATTATTATTGTTTGACTGTTTTTCCTATGCAACACAAAAGATTTTTGCAGAGCATCATCGCCACATTTTTTGATTAATATTATAAGTGAATTATCTTTAGTATTACAATAAAGAATAGATATAAAATGTAAACTAAGTTCATATGGATTTATTGGCATAGCATTACAAGGCAATTGCTTATTCTTTAAATTTAATCTAACCAAACCTGTCAAGTGTGAAATTTCACAAAATATCCACTATTTTATGAGCACTTGTGACACTTATGTCATAAAATAGTAGTTGTTTTAGGTCTGATGTGTCGATGAATACAGAAACTGAACAAAATTTAAACTAGAAAACTTAAAACAATGATACATTAAAATAGTCAACGTTTACAGTAAAAGTATTTAACAAAACATTTAGCATTTTGTTTATTTCAAATAAATGCTGTTCTTTAAGATCCAAGAAAAAAAATTCAAGTTTTAACACAAAACTTTCAACATCAACAAACTTAGCCTTGACTTCACCGGAATAAATTACATTTTTTTTTGCATATTTAAATAGAAAAAGTTTATTTTAAAATGTAATAAATCCAAAACTATTAATGGTTTTACCGTATTTGTAGTCAAATAAATGGTAAACATATACAGTATTCTAAGAGGTACAAGAGATGTCACTGAGGTGGTACCTTTTCAAACGGCATTTTCATTTTGTGCCAAAAATATTCACATTGGTACCTCAAAAGGTACATTTTAATACTTAAAAATTTTAAGAGGCACACTTTTGTTCTCTTTAGGTACTAATATACCCTTAAAGTACTGAACTTGACCTTTTATGTACAAATGTGCACCTTTTGAAAAGGTGTCACTCCAGTGAACACCCTTGAAACTTTATTTCTGAGAGTTTAATGTACTTCTTTCAAACTTATTTTAGAAAAATTTGCGAACTCCAAATGTAAAAATGTCCATGAATTTAAAATGATATAGCTAAAAACGATTTTCCATTAACCTCGAATACGGCACTTTAAATAATCCCTGTTCTTCTGTTTTTTTAGCAGCAGATATAGAATAAAAGGAAGACTAATGTCTGCAAATCATGGATGCTCTTCCACCTTAACTCCACGTCTCATCTCCATCACATCATTTTCAACAAGAGTTCATACGCAGCATTTATGATGCCCCAAGAAAATATCGACCTCTGGAAGTTCAAATGCACACCCCGAAACAGACGGCTCACCTTCCCATCCCTCTCTCTCAAAACACTGGCTAAAATCACCCTGGAGGACTGAAACGGTCCTCCGATCTGTACCTGCGCATGAGACTTGGCCACATTTAGAGGATAAAACACCACCCCGAGACCTGCTCCCAAAATCCCTCCACATACAAAATCATTAATTAAATGCCCAGCCTTTGACTCAACTTCAGGGAGAAATTCCTTAATCGGTCCACGCAAACCAAAAAACAAAGCATTGCTGGGACCATTTCTGATCAGGATCGGGACGAGGCCACGGTACAGCTCTAGAAAGCCATGTTGCTGTAGCAAAACACGGAAAATGTGTGCAGTGTTTTGAAAGTTCCCATGATGGCGAGGGTCCTGCAGTAGAGTTTGCACCCTCTCAAATGGTGTCAAAACTGCTTCTGCTGTTCCTGCTAATATTGCTGCAATGGCATCTCTTAACTGGACGGGGGCTTCGGGAACGTAAACCCTCAGCATCCTGGAGAAATCCTCGTAGAGTCCGAACATAATTGCGATTGTGCTGCTTTTTTGGAGCAACGGTGGAAGGATGCCACGATATAGGGTTCGCAAACCGTCCCTCTGGAGCCCTCGCACGGCATCCCATGCATGCACGCCAAACAGCTGCTGGCGGAACAGGGCTTTGTGAATAGGAAATGTGATAACAATGTTGGCGAACGCTGCTAGAGAACCACACAAGTAGTGGTTTTGAGTCTGAAGAGACTCTTGGTCTTGGTCGCCGGAGGCCATGATTCTGGGTGATTGCAAGTCAAAGGTTGAAACTGGGGATCAGATGTGACTTCATATGATGCATTACGTATAATGTGCTTCTGTAGAGAAAAAAAAATAAAAATTTGCATTAATATTCATTTTCTTAAAAGTAATGAGTTGACTGTTTGAAAAAGTGTGTAAACCTATTTTATCTTGGAACTGTTTAGTTGATTTGACTCAAATTTTTATAATTATCCACAGTTCATTTACTTCATAATTTCAAATTTACTGACTTTAAGTAGTCAACTAATCAAATTAAAAGCAACTGGTTTACTCACTTTTTAAAAGTACAGTCAACTAATAATTTTTATAGTGTAAAAACAGTCTGTATTATCACACAAAAATTTAAATTCTGTCATCATTTGCTCATCCTCCACTTGTAAACCTATTCTAATTTCTTTCTTCTTTTGAAGATATTTTGGAAGATTAAAAAAAAAAATAATACATTTTTAATTTCCTATGCCATGGATGTCCATGGTGAGAATAGTATCTAACATAATTTAGAATACCTTCTTTTTGGTTCAATGAAAAAAATATATTTTAATTTCATAAACATTTAGCACCACCTGAGGGAGAGAAAATATGAGTAATTTTACATTTATGGAGTGAGCTATCCCTTTAAATTGCACATAAATATAACAATTTAAACATTAAACTGGATTTTGTGAGCTATTAACTACAATATAATATTGAGTTAGGCTAAACAATATATCATTAGAGCATCGATATCGCAGTGTGTGTGTCTGCAATAGTCATATCGCAGGATTAGATTATTTATTAAAGATTAAAAGATTAAGATATTATTCCTATTTTTGTTTTATCATGTATAAATTGATGAGCATGTTATTTACATTTAATTGTTCTATTTCTGAATACGGTTACACTATCCCAGAAAACCACAAAGCACTTTTTATTATTCATTTATTCATTCATTTTCCTTCGGCTTAGTCCCTTTATTCATCTGGGGTGGCCAAAGTGGAATGAATCGCCAACTTAACCAGCATATGTTTTACACAGCGGATGCCCTTCCTGCAACCCAGCACTGGGAAACATCTATGCACACTCTTTCACACACATACACTATGGCCAATTTAGTTTATTCAATTTACCTATAGCACATTTGTTTGGACTGTGGGGGAAACCAGAGCACCCGGATGAAACCCACGTGAGCAGGGAGAACATGCAAACTCCACATAAAATTGTAAGCTGACACAGCCGGGACACAAACCAGTGACGTTTTTGCTGTGAGTCGACAGTGCTAACCACTGAGCAATGTGTTGCCACAGATTATTTTGCTTGTTATTTATTATAATTTATGCACATCCACTGCATAGAAAAAAACTTGATCACCCCAGTCAGTCGAATTAATGAAATCTTTCCAAATTTAAGTAATCTAATGAAATTATATTCATATCGCAGTATATATTGCATAAAAAACTAAATATCACAATGTCAGATTTTTCTAATATTGAGTATAATTAACAAAAATATGTAACCACTGTAGCGAAGTTGTTAAGGTCTTAATCTTGTTCTGGTCTTGCTCACACACTTGGACAAGTTTATTTTAAGACCACAACAGCAGTGATTTCACTAAATACCTGTGTAGATAATTGTATAAAAATGTCAAATAAACAAGAATTCATATAACTCAGTTTAAGCAGCAGTTTTGAACATGAGCAACACACAGCTGTTTCTTTATTGATGTATTTTCATTATATTTCTATATTCAGAATTGAGTATTCAAAGGATGAATCATTCATTCATTCCTTTTCTTTTCAGCTTAGTCCCTTTATTAATCTGGTGTCACCACAACGAAATGAACCGCTAACTTATCCAGCATATGTTTTTCACAGCAGATGCCCTTCCAGCTGCAACCCATCTGGGAAACATTCATACACACTCATACACTACGGACAATTTAGCCTACCCAATTTACCTTTATCGCATATGTCTTTGGACTGTGGGGGAAACCGGAGTACCCGGAGAAAACCCACACGAATGCAGGGAGAACAAGCAAACTCCACACAGAAACGCCAACTGACCCAGCCAAGACTCAAACCAGTGACCTTCTGCGAGGCGACAGCACTACCTACAGCACCATCGCATCGCCCAAAGGATGAATCTCATTACATTCATGTAACATATTATAGCATTATATTTGCTGTTGTAATTAATGTGTAAATGCTTCTAAATCTTTGACCAGTAGTGTATGAAAAACATAAAACTCATATAAAAAATATTTTGTCAAATAGTTTTTATATTTTTAACACACAAAATACATAAAGATGAATACTGCTTATGCACCAGAACGTGACCATATATAATCTTTCATCATTAATGCTTTGTATTATGCATTATCTGCAACATATTTCACCAAATACCACATTTCATTTTTTACAAAAAATAAACTCACATCTTTTATTGATATTCATTCATTCATTCATTTATTGATTTTCCTTCCTCTTGGTCTCTTTATTGATTTATTAATATTGTAAACTTTAAAACTTAATGTACACTAGTACCATTTCAAAGTTAAAGAAATGAATAAAGTAATACTTTTAAATAATTTCAAATAAATGCTGTCATTTGACATTCATCAAGAAACTCTAAAATATGAATGTTTGCACGAAAATATAAAAGGGCTGTATAGTTTTTGTGTGTTATAACTAAAATCAGTGTATTAGAAAGATTTCTGAAGTCACGTGAGACACTGAGGTAATGATTGCAGAAAATTCTGCTTTGCATCACATGAATAAAACTTCACAGTTCAAAGACATGCGATATAGGTGAATTAAATATACTAAATTGAACAGTGTATATGAGTGTGTGCAAGAGTGTGTGGGTGTTTCCTAGTGATGGGTTGTGGCTGGAAGGGCATCTGCTGCATTAAAAAAAATACTTTTTAAGTTCATACTTTCAATGTACTTCAAGTTGATTTGAATTAAATAAACATACACAGAATAAATACAGGCAAGGCTTAAAGCTTAATATACTAAACTGCACGTTTTTGTTGTTTAAAAAGAACCAGGAATATATATTAAAATACGTAAGTGCGATTGACTTGTCTCAAGATGCACAACAGTAATGTGTTTTTCAAAGTAATTTGTCTGAAAGCTTGCAGAGGTCCTCTAATGGGCTCCAGCCCTCTGGCTGACAACAACCAGAGTATGTCAGGCATTAAAGATTTAAGATGTCAGATATAAGACTTTAAACCTAAAGTAATCCACAATACTTCTAGTCAAATTAAAATATAAATGCAACGTAACAATACATTTCACAGTGTAAATAAGAAAACTAGTAGGCTAAGCATCTCCATTGAGTTTCAGACTAAATTTGCCCTTTACTATCCAGTTATTTCTGTTACTCAAGTAATAGTATACAAGTAATAAAATAATGTTTAATTTAAACAGCTTTCAACATATTTTTGCTATGTTGCACAGTTTCATGTCAGTCATGTCGGAGGATAACATGGTTACCATGGTAATTGTGGTAAAGGCGTGACCGGTGATGTTTATGACAAAGACAAATCATATCATCCGCAAAACATTTTAGCGATCAAAAAATCATGGCATAACATAATATCATACAGCCAGGAAGAAAAATCGATTGACTATGATTATTTGAAGCTGTAAAGATGAAGCATCTTTATTTGAAGACAACGGGTTTTTATCATTCTGTAACACCACATCTCATTCAAATAAGCACTTTAATCAGATTACTAGTTTACCCGTTATAAATCATCTTTACTTCATAAAAATGACGAAATATCATCAAAAGCCATAGATAACCTAATGACAAATTGATGTGAATCGTATAAATACAGAAATCTCACCTCATGTCATCCGTGCGGGTTCACGCGCTTCCGTCGCGCACATGAAGCACACAGCACGCTCGCGCGCATCCCGCGCTCTGATTGGTTTAAGGATAACAATGATGTGCTGATCTGAGATCTGCTGACAATGCCATGGGTGGTTACCCATCCGAGGATTCCTCTGTGTGTAGGTGTGGTGGTCTTTTATTATTATATTTTAAAACATTTCTTAAAATATTTACAGACTGATGGAGATCACATGACAACATACATTGAAGAGACAACATGGCGCCGTTGTAGATTATTAAAGAGGTCTAACATAACATAAAATGTAATGAATGAAGTCTAAATTGTAGACATTTGCACCTCTTTTTCGGGTTTTATTTAAACTTTGTAACAAAGACAAACCCTGTTAGTCAATTAAACAATTAACCAATTAATGTAATGGAACAAATGCTAAACAAGACGCACCTGGAATGTTAATTAGATTACACCTCAGCCATCTGCCAGCATTGCATGGCATATATAAGTGTAAAGTCAGAAGCTTGTGTCAGTGTCTCTTATCCCTCATCTGTTGCGCTTCAGGCTTAAGTAAGTTGTGTACTAAGTTTGGTTATGTGTTGTCATTTTTAGTGAGCTGTTTTAATTTATTTTATTCACATCCTCCTAGAGAAGCTAAAGCAAAACAATGTCTGACAAACCTGATGTCAGTGAGGTTTCTCATTTCGACAAGAACAAGCTGAAGAAGACCGTAACTCATGAGAAAAACACTCTTCCCACCAAAGAGAGTAAGTATGAGCTTCATGGAATAATCCTACTTTCTTATTTCAGCTAATTTTTGTTTCCTCCCAAATGCCATCTGTCTAGCCATTGAGCAGGAGAAGAAATGTGAGACTTAAATTAGCCATGTTGGATCTTCACCAAGGACTGAATTGCAGATCATGTGACTTTTTAAAAAGATGGCTCTTCCTACCACCAGTTACTATGGCCATGCAGGCTGAAGTTGGAAATTGACCCATGTGTTATCAGATGATATCGACGATTCTGATAAAAAAAAAATGCTGTAAAATCATGGATATTTAACTTTGTATAACTGTCTGATCTGCTCTCATTTTGACCTTTGGTGAAATAAACCTTTGAAATGAATTCCTGTGTGTGGGTTCATTTAAGAACGGTGGAAAAAATAAATATGTTTTGAGCTTTGCTATTTGACAATTTCTCATTCTGACTAATTTTTTTGGGCACCCCTGCCATATGGTAATTTTTTAAAAATGCGTTTTTTTTTTTTTGTTTTGTTTTTTTAAATATATTCAGTGTTCCAAAGCAATGATCCTATGTGTTTTGAAAGATTTGGTATTACGAAGGAGTTTTGTGAAATGTTATAGAGTTTATGGTTTATTAAACTACTTGGGCTTTTAATTTGGCTGCTTTTTTTTTTTTTTTTGTGTGTAACATTTGATAATCTCTTTAACAATCTTATTCAAGGCGTATTAAAATTGTCATAATTGCTAAAAGGCTTGAGTATTATGGGAATAGTGCTACACTCGAGCTACTATTTCAGTTTTGTTAAGCCTTTTTTTTTGTTTGTTTTTTTATAAGAATTGAATAACACATTCAGCAATATTATTTCATAAGTAAGCAACAAAGCTATGTCATAAATAATAATAAAAAGATTTGGTCCATAATTTTAAGTTTCTGTACAAAGATGTCATGTTTTGATCTTTTATTTTTCTCTTGCAGTCATCTAATCTGATTTTGTGGGTCAGATCACCAAGCTTGAACTTTGCAATACAGTGAACCATGAAACCTGTCACATGCGTTTCCAGTCTGCTGCATTAACATGTGTATGAATGGAAGACTATATGGAGAGTAGTGCAGTGTGAACTCACCGAAGGTGCTTTTGCAGTGTGTATTAAGTATTTTTTCCATTATGCAAAATTCTTAAACGAAATCAGCAAGGTTTGTTTAAATGCTTAACTCCTGTTTTAGGGAGACGACAGGTGACATTTTCCACCATTTTATGTTTTAGCTTAACATGCTAACCTTAAACTGTCTATACCAAATGAAGTTTTCAAAAGTTAATTATGATGCATGTCTTTGGACCATGGGAGGACCCCAGAGAACCCAGGGGAAACCTAAACGAACAGAAGTAGAACTAGCAAACTCTACACAGAAACACCAACCATCCCAGAAAGGATCGTAACCTGCAATGTTCTTGCTGTGAGGCAACTGTTAACCACTGGGCTACCATGCCACCAATCAAGGAAAGAGAAAGAAAGAAAATGGAGGAGAGGGACAAGGGGATTCTTAAAGACGAAGATGACTGTATATAAAGACTGTGGTCATTTATAATGACTTAGGAATCATCTGATTGGAGAATCGGGTATTAGAAAATGTGGGTCCACCCTTGATCAATCATAAGCACGTGATCCTCTCGAAATTAGTTTCTAAATAAATCTCATTTGATGTATGATTCAGTAGGCAAAGACCATACAGCAGGGGTGCCTGTGAAGGAGCAATTGGTAGTTAGTAAAGACAGGTGTGCTTGATCAAGCCAGGAGCTGAACCCCACAGGGTGTATCTCCAAGAACAGGATTGGGTACCCCTGCCATATGGTAAAGAACATACTTTAGCTCTTGTCCAGCTGCACAGCCAAGGAAATAGTAGTGTTAGCTTCAGATTTCACTTCCAAACTGTTGGCCAAAGATTGTATGCGTGTGACACACAAGCTGAAAACACTTCAAAAGATTCAAAGTCATTGAAGTGTGTTTTGTGTGTTTTGTAATTTAAAGGTCTGTTTAAACAAAGCCATCAACCCACCTCATTTAAGAAGCAGTCATGTTTATGTTTACAACTTTGGTGAATAGTAGAAAGATAAATATATCAAGTATATGCTGTTTTCAATAGTATGTGTAGGGGCTAGTTGATTTGGTGTTTTCCATATCGCTTCTCGCTGGGTTAACGTTGGAGATCGTTGGCCTGATTCAGCATGCCGCTTTGGCTGAAGAGAGCGCTCTGACTGGATATTCAACAAAAATTGAAATTCAACAAAGCGAGAGTTTGACTTCAATAATTAAAGTCAAGTAGGAACACTAGAGGCGGGCTATAATTTCACTACATTTATTCCCAAATATTTTCAAACAATATGTATTGTTAGTTTGTCAGCCATATTTGATGGGCAAATCCTTCCGTGGTGAATGACAGTGATAACGGTACTGAATTCTGCTTTATGCTTTGCAAGCGCACTTCAAGTGTTCCAGTTTCCCATTGTGAATCAGAAAACACATACTCTCCACTGGTGCGGAAAGACACCCTCATGTAGGTGCAGAACGCGATCTTTCATTTAGTTTTTCTCTATTTGGTGTGTTCAAGAGCAACTGTGGCCCGGACGAATCCAGACATATGCCAACACGAGACAACAACAGAGTTGGGTTTGGTCTGTGCTAGTTGTTTGGTGTCGACTTGGTGTGTATCAACCTTTATATATATATATATATATATATATATATATATATATATATATATATATATATATACATATATATATATATTTATACAAAGGTTGATTCACACCCCCAACTAAATTTTCTGTGGTGTGCAAATGTGTGTATATCATATATGGGTGTTTACCATTGATGGGTTACAGCTAGAAGGGCATCCGCTGCGTAAAACATATGCTGGATAAGTTGGCAGTTCTTTCCGCTGTGGCGACCCCTGATTTAGAAAGGGACTAAGCCGAAAAGAGAAAGAATGAACGTTGCATTTGTGATAAATCAGAGTATAAAGGTTTTACATGATTAATGCACTGTTAACATGATTCAGGTGTCATAGAAGAACAATAAAATGACATTTCATTAAAAGTTCGGTATCATTGTTTTGAGGATGATCTAATGAACTTTAATATTTGGTGATAGTTTATAAAATTCAGCGAGGATTTAGATTCTCTGTTTTGGACCAAAATAAATCTTGCATTATTATACTCTGTCTTGCATGGGAGTTGAAAATCCCATTTTTGGAAGTCAAACAAAGGCTTGTTGTTAAGGTAAGGGTTCTTGTGATCAGTTACCCATTCTTCTTGAGGTAACTTTATTATTTTATTGAGTTCGATGACACTTAGCTGGTGTTGAACCAGTCACTAGGGTAGGGTGGGCCAACCCTGTTCCTGGAGAGCCACCTTCCTGCAGATTTCAGTTGCAACTCATATCAAACACACTTACCTGTAATTATCACGTGGTGTTCAGGTCCTAATTAATTGGTTTAGGTGTGTATGATATGGGTAGCAACTGAAATCTGCAGGAGGGTGGCTCTCCCGGAACAGGGTCAGCCACCCCTGCACTAGGGTGATCTGCTTTCTGTTCTGTACTGCAGAGACCAAAATGGCTCTTAATCAAGGTGACTCTGATCACAGGTGTCACCTCAGGTATCAGTGTCTGCATCGTTATGTCCCCATAATATATTGCACTTTATTTTACATGCCTCAGAGATGAAAGTATTCGGAAACTGGGTACCGTTTTAAAGGATATACAGTTGCAATCAGAATTATTAACCCCCCTTTGATTTTTTTTTCTTTTTAAAATATTTCCCAAATGATGTTTAACAGAGCAAGGAATTTTTCACAGTATGGCTGATAATATTTTTTTTTCATCTGGAGAAAGTCTTATTTCTTTTATTTCGGCTCGAATAAAAGCAGTTTTAATTTTTTAATAAACTTTTTTAGGTCAATATTAGTAGCCCCTTTCAGCTATTTTTTTCTCAATAGTCTACAGATCAAACCATCATTATATAATAACTTGTCTAATTACCCTAACCTGCCTAGTTAACCTAATTAACCTAGTTAAGCCTTTAAATGTCAGCTGTATAGAAGTGACTTGAATAATATCTAGTCAAATATTATTTACTGTCATCATGGAAAAGATAAAAATAAATGAGTTATTAGAAATGAGTTATTAAAACGATTATGTTTTGAAATGTGTAAAAAAATCTGCTCTCCGTTAAACAGAAAAAGGGGGGGGGGGTAATAAACAGGGGCGTAATAATTCATGGGGGCTAATAATTCTGATTGCAACTGTAACAGGTCAACATTTACCTTAAAAGTACAGAGTAATGTACACTTGAAAATGTACCACCCCAGTGAAAGGTTTTGTACCTTTATTTCTAAGATTGTATGAATTACCAGATGTTACAAACAAGTATTTATTTACTTTTTCTGTTTACCAAACTTTTATTTAATACCAATTTAAACAGTTTTGCAAATCATTTAATCTTTTAAATTCATATTTGTAATAGGAAGATATACAATATTACATTTGTGTATACATTATTAGTCAGTACTGAAGCCAAATCTGGAGCTTATGCAACAAAATAACTTATGATAGCGGTCAAAAATTCATACACCTAAATTTATATGTCATAGAAAAATAAAAAATACGAATTTAAAAGATAGGAAAAATAGGAGCAAAAAATTTGAAAAAAATAGTTGGAATATTGTAGCTGTAATTGTTTTGCAATACTTAGCTTGAATTTAAATATAAAGATGTTCTGTGAGTAAAATACACTTTTAAAAAATATATCTGTTTAATAAATCTGTAAAAATAGTCACGTCTTTATATAGTGTGTCACATAGAGAGAGAGAGAGTTTTTAATACATGCAAGGAAGGTCTGGGAAGCGTAATAATGATTTCATAAGCATAGATTTTTATTCTCCGAGCCATGCTATAGCTGTAAGTGGTGCTGACACATTAGTACAGTGCCTGGCCTGCAGTGGTTAAATAATTGAGATGTGCTGTTTTCACTGCCTGCAGGCCAAAAGAGATGTGCCAGACATTTACAGCTTTAGTGTGTGTGACAGTGATAGAGCAGTGTCAAACACACTCAGAGCAAAAAATAGCAACCAAAGGATGTTTCTTGAACACATGGCAAATATTTCATCAAAAGAATGTATTTATACAAATACATTGAGAAGATTTCACATCACTGACTCACACTGTAAATTGTCATGACAAAGTAAATAATGAATATTCACACAGTTATAATACAAAGATAGCATTTTGTCTGAATAATTATGCTTCAACTTAAATTTTCATATAAATTGATGTGGCCAAAACAGTTTCCTTGGTATTTAAGCCAAAATAAGGCATAGGCTGATTGGGTGCTCAAGTTATTTGTATCATTGTTTATCATTTTTAGTTGTCACTAATAGGCTAACCTTTCTTGTTTTGCACAACCCTTTCTGCACTACATCTTTCCTTTTACAGGATCATGTGCAGTATTCCATATGAAAAAAATACCATCAAATTAGCAACTTGATAGCAAAATTCGGGGGCAATCACATCATTCATTTGCGCAGACACCCCATGCCTGAACTTGAAATGAACCTGCATTTTTATTCCAATGCATGATAAAAGTAAATGGAAAGTATGCAAATATTATCATCCAATATTGACCACAAGTTTGTGTATCCATGCCATTCTTTGAGTTTCTTTGAATTCCATGCTTATTTACAACACACACACACACACACACACACACACACACACACACACACACACACACACACACACACACACACACACACACACACACACAAAAGCAATTACAGCCATATGGCCAAAAAAATGCACCTTTTGTACTTTAATTTTTTAATTAAATTTATTTGTTTTATATATATATATAATTTGTTTAACTTTTTTTAACTAAATGCTGACGAACGCTTACATCACAATATAAGTCCGGTCAAATCCTGATATCAATATATAGCACCATTTATGCAAATTTCAATCAATTAATAATTTATTTATATAGACTTATAAATCATATATTTAAAGCTATTTCACGCTTTATTTAAAACGACAGGACAAATGATTCATTTAAAATGTAGAAATATTTAATAGAGGTTAAAAAAACATAATGCACTTTTCAAATTTTATTGCATAACAAAAACAATAGCATACAAAAAATGAGGAATACAGTGCATACAGTTTTTTTCAAATCAAAAGAACAAATCAATAGAGGATAAAAACAAAAAAATAAATAAATAAGATGACAGGGGATATATAATTTACAAGAAATTTGCTTAAGAAAATACTTGCACACATCCTTATAGCTGTTTTTAATGTCATTTGGAGTTTCAATATATTGTTTAAGATCAATTTTAAACAAATAAATATTAGGTTTATCATTGGACTATTTTTGTTTGTGTACATGGTACTTCCCATATAGAATCATTAAATTAATAAACACATTTTTCTTCAAGTTTTATTACTATTATTATTATTATTATTATTATTATTATTATTATTATTATTATTATTATTATTATTATTGTGTCAAAGAAATATATTTACAAGAAAACAGAATTATTATTTTTTAAGTTTAAACACAATGTAAGAAATTTAACTTTAAACCCAAACATTTGGGTATATGTTCACTCAAAAAACAGTGTTTTATCAATTCCTCGTCTAATATATTTAATTGCATGCATACTCCATGTCTCTTAACATTTTTTACAACTTATTTCACTAGATAATTTAAATAAATTAGTTTATGTGTCACTTTTTAACTTTATTGGTGAGACAAATTTTAATAATAACTTCTCAAAAAAAAAGGAATTCCAAAAAGGTTTGCATTTAGGCAACCATGTGGTTTTGCATAACTTTTAATGTAAAAATTGTTACATTTATTGTCTATAAATTTCACATCATTGATACTTAACAGAATAGTATGTAAAAGATCGGTAAAAGATTAGATTCAGAGGACATATTACCAGATAACAGCTGAACACGTCCACTTGGAATTGCCTCAAATACTATTGCAAATTCTTTAGCATTTATGGGGTATATCTTGTAATAAATAAGAAATTCACAATTATTAAAAAGTTATCCATTATTTCTGAATAACTGTCTCTTTGAAAACATAATAATCACAGGTCCAACGCACTACAAAAAGAATCCCAGAAACGCGTATTATATGCGGACTTGGCAACTCTAGACAACCACGACTGCTCCACCAATGAGCTGCAGTGCAATGGCATGAGCCAATCACGTGCTCCACCCCTTGACCAAAGCTCCGCCCAGTCTCTTTCATTCACAGTGCGATACGGATATATTATCATTTATAGTCTTAACAGCAAAAGTGAAAGACAAAGCTTATGATAAATTAAAAAAGAGTGGCCAGAGGCACCCTTCATAAGCTTATCTCGTATTCGTTTATCGTTTGAATTACAGTTTACATTTGAAGTACATCAACATGGAGAATGGCCAGGGGAGCACAGGGGACAGTCGTCTGGATCAAGCTGTCACGCAGTGGCTTCAGTATGACAAGGTAAAAGCAAACACACACTGCCGTCAAGCTTTAAATATGCGAAATCTATACTAACGTGTAGTGCTGAAACCTAAGTCAAGAGTGTGGTACTAAAAACTGGGTTTAAATGTTCTTTATAAGTGACTAATTAGCTGACAGCTCAATTATGGAACCACTGGAGCATACACACTGTCTTTATATTGTGATTATCAACTATAACAGTAAAGAGTAACGTTAGTAGAATCATACTCTTGATGCTTTAAGTTTACAGGAAGTGTTCTTACTCGTAGATTACTCAACATTATGCAATCTGAACTTACAGTCTACTTAATGATATGCCAAAAGGCTATAGTTTCTATATGAAAACATTTATTTTCTCAGATCTTGCTCAACTTTGTCCAGGATAATTTTCCTAAATTCTATTATCTATCTATCTATCTATCTATCTATCTATCTATCTATCTATCTATCTATCTATCTATCTATCTATCTATCTATCTATCTATCATCTATCTATCTATCTATCTATCTATCTATCTATCTATCTATCTATCTATCTATCTATCTATCTATCAATCTATCTATCTATCTATCTATCTATTATTTTGAAATAAATATTTCCTAACTTGTATTTAAAAGAAATGATTCTGAAATATGTTTACAACTGTTTTTATTTCAAAGGAAGCAAACCTGAATTTTGATATCCTGAAATCAATCTATTTTGCTGATTTGGTTTTTCAGTGAACATTTTTAGATTTAGCCATATTAAAATCACTGACCTGTGATTGCAAACCTAGCTGTTTTTCCAAAATTGTAATACTTGTTTTAAGAACAAGCCCTCAATTCATTTCGAGATCAGCATTAGCGATAATAAAGATCTAATTAGTCATTTCTCATCCAGAATGTTTTAGTACTACTATTGGGTAAATGTGGCTTATGCATTTGCTACGGTCACATGACCTGCATGAAAAGAACAAGCACTATGTTCCAATAACAAAGAACGGATAAACAAACTCTTTCTAGTCTTTCCTAGACAAAAAAAGGTCAGCATACTGTATCATTTAATACACTGATGATGATGTCCATTAACTAACTATTCATTTCTTGTCGGCTTAGTCCCTTTATTAATCCGGGGTCGCCACAGCGGAATGAACCGCCAACTTATGCAGCATGTTTTTTACGCAGCGGATGCCCTTCCAGCAGCAACCCATCTTTGGGAAACATCCACACTCATTCACACTTATACATTACGGACAGTTTAACTCACCCAATTCACCTGTACCGCATGTCTTTGCGAACGCAGGGAGAACATGCAAACTCCACATAGAAACGCCAACTGACCCAGCCGAGGCTCTAACCAGTGACCTTCTTGCTGTGAGGCAACAGCATTAACTACTGCGTCACAGCCTCGCCTCCATTAACTAACTATTAGAATATATATTTCTTGTATAATGTGTTGATTGAGAATAACACACATCTAATGTGTCAATGGATGGTTTCAGAAATGTACTTACAATGCATATTAGTTTAGTTTAATTACAGTAATTAAAGTCATGTGCTTAACTGGGTCACAAGATACTTATTTAATGAGTTTATCCAGAAGTGGATAGTTGCTGATTAGGTAAAACTGTGCAAGTATAACGGTATGATTTATTTTTGTATATAGTGGCTGTGTTGTCACCAAAATTCTCACATTGATTTGTGTGCTACACGAGTCAAAACAAAAGTCTCTGCAGTTAGTTATGGATTAGACTCAGAGTTCTTGAATTTGAATCCTCACATGTTCTCACTTATCAGGAAAGTGAAGGCATATTGTCCCTCACATGGTGAATACACACACACACACACACATGCACAGCTATCTTTTTGGAGTCTTCCCATAGATGTAATGAATTTCATATTGTACAAATTGTATATTCTATCTTCATACCCCTAAAACCAACCCTTACAGAAAAATCAGTAATTTTACATTTTCAAAATACTTTATTCCGTGTGAATAAAGAGTTATTATGAGTATTATAAGATGTTTTCCTCATGGGAATGAAAAAAATGTCCCCAGAAGGTCAAAAATGATTAGTGTTACTATACTTGTGGATTTCTATACTTTTAAATTCGCTCCCCACAACATAAGGAATGCAAAACACACTATTATTAAATTTCAATAAATATCAAATTATTATCTCCTCTGTATATTTTTTTTAAAGAAATATTTTTTCAACACATTTCTAAACATAATAGTTTTCTAATTTCTAATAATTGACTTCTTTTATCTTTGCCATGATGACAACATTATATTTTACTAGATATTTTTCAAGGTACTAGTGTCCAGTTTAAAGTGAAATTTAAAAGCTTAACTAGGTTAATTATGTTAACAAGGTGGTGTCATGATCAGCTGTGATCCAGCAGTTGCAGATCACTGGAGAACGACAAATTCCATCATCAACCTCACACACACATACACACACACGCACACACACACACACACACGCACACACACACACACACACACACACACACACACACACACACACACACACACACACACACACACACACACACACACACACACACACATTCTTGTACTGTATGTAGGTTTTACAAACATCATGAGCAGAGCACGCTGACTAGATCTCCATAAGCATAATGTATTTTATACTATAAAAAATGCTCATTATATAGCCCTAGCCTACCAATACTCTCAAACCCAACTCTCACAGGAAACCTTTTTTTATTTTGAAGGTTTTTAAGCATTTAGAATTTTCAAGGACACAACAGAGCATGTCCTCATAAATCACATTAATGCACTACAACTAGGTCATACCAATGTCATTATACAATTATGTCCTTGTAAACCACATAAACAAGTACACACACACACACACACACACAAGCACACACTAATTAAAATCAATGTGCCTAAAGCAGACCCGCAGCCAGCCTATTAAAAATGGTGGTTCTTATTTCTCAAAAAGTGGATCTTTTTGCAGTTATTCTCCCAAATTTCTATTAAATTATGAGGTTCAAATACTGTGACATTTTAAGCTCTAATATTTACTGCATTAGCTTGTCGGAGAGTGATCATATTCATATTTTGATGCAACAAAAATATTTGCTACAATTTTGTTAAAATGCTTACCATAGTATTTTACCACAAAGTGTTTATTTCGAAATATGCATTAAAACTGTAATTTATTACGGTTTTATAAATAATGTTATGAGCTTAGAACTTTAAATTAAACATTTTGAACAAAGAAATAAAAAAAAATACTTATTTTTAAAAAATACAAAATTGTCATCATGCATCATTAACAAAAACAATTAATATGTTATTCAATACGTTAAATATATTCAATATGTTATTAACTATTAATAACTTATTAAAAACCAACTAAAAAAACATGTATCGTTAGCCTGTAAGTAAAAAATAAACTGACCAGCTTAATTCCTCAGTCACAATTTGTAAATTTGAATAATTTCAAATTAAATTAGTACTAAAGCCTTCTTCTATCAGTTATTTCCACAATATATGATGGAATACTGTCAAAAATGGGACAAATGAGTTCATATAGGGACCAAATTCTTTCTAACCACCTGAAACCCTCCTGGATACATGCCTGTAAACACATAAAGACAAGTTTCTTACTCAGTTTACACTGTTATTGCCAATAACATGTCATCAATACATACATTTTCATGTCTTCATTCATCCATTAATTAATTAATTCATTCATTCATTTTCTTTTGGGCTTAGTCCCTTTATTAATTTGGGGTCGCCACAGCGGAATGAACTGCCAACTTATCCAGCATATCGCAGCAGATCCATACACTTTCATTCACACTCATACACTACGCACAAGTTAGCCTACCCAATTCTCCTGTACCGCATGTCTACCGCATTAGACTTGTGGGAGAAACCGGAGCACCCGGAGAAAACCCACACTAACGCAGGGAGAACACACAAACTCCACACAGAAACGGCAACTGACTCAGCAGAGGCTCGAACCCGCGACCTTCTTGCTGTGAGGCAACAGCACTACCTACTGTGTCGCCCATTTTCATGTCTTTTTGTGTATAATTTCATGAGTCACATAATTTGTTGAATTAAACAACCTTTTTATGTGTGTTTGCAGAATCCAAAGACGGCTGCTGCTGTGCGGTCAATGGTTAAGGATGGAGCCTTGTCAGAGCTGCAGAAGTGTTTCGGGGCTCGTATGGAGTTTGGAACCGCAGGACTGAGAGCTGCCATGGGACCAGGAGTGTCCTGCATGAATGACCTCACTATCATACAAACCACGCAGGTGATGTACTGAAAACAAGGGATATCTTATCAAACTTTTCAGAGATAGTCAAAACTGCACTGAGGGTTGGTACAAATCGAACATATTTGCCCTCATTAAAGGGACAGCTCACTCTAAAATGGAAGTATGCTGTTCATTTACACACTCTCAGGCCATTCAAAATGTAGGTTTTTTTTGTAAAACATTAAAGAAGATTTTTAGCTGAAAGTGTGGTTTTTGATGATTTATAAAATGCAAGTCACAGAGTAGGCCCCCCCCCCCCCCCCCAACGCATGCTGGCTGGATAAGTGATTTTGTGATTCAAGAGGATATGACAGTTTTTTTATCATTAATATAATTTATTTTTATTTATTTATTTATTATTATTATTATTATTAATTATTTTTTTATTTTGTTCATTTATTTATTTTTTTTGTGTTAGGATGCATCTCTTTGTATGTTCCCTCTTTTGGATGTTGCCAAGCCTCTCATGTTAAATGACAACATATGGACTGAACAAATATGGTACACTCTGTTTTCTCACTGTCAACTCAGGAACTCTGAAATGATATATATTTTTATGTTTTTTTATTGATTTATTTTTCCTTTTTCTTTAGGGTTAATGTTATGCTTTAAATTGTAAATGCCAAAATCTCGATAAACAAATATAAAAAAGTAAAATAAAATGCAAGTCAAAGACAATCAGCAAGCGGCGATCGTTATTCTTTTCGTAATGTGACGCAGTAGCTAGATAAACGTAATTTTAAATGAGCAAACAGTGGGTGTGGTTTGTTCTTTCTACCGTGGGCTAAAGGGATTGTAAAGAAGGGATTTCATTCAGAAAGATCGGGAAAGGGGTTTTAGTTATTACAACCTAACAGGCTTCTCCTGCTCACCATTTCTGTTTGTTGTCAAAACTGAGAGTTGGAGCAGCATTATCCACAGCCATTACCTTAAAACATCATCTGATAAATGAAATGAAAACAAAAAGGAAGTGCATTTTCAGATTTCAATTAAAGATTAGAAGGGCAAACATTTTTTTTACTTAATTACATGCACAGATGAATCATTCACCACAAAACTAGCAATGTGAGCTAACAAAATCATATGGTTATTTTTTATTTTTTGGGGACTATAATGTTTTAATATATAGTTTCATTTGTTTTGGTGAAAAATCCCTTTAAAGTCAGGATATTTATTTTGTGAATAGATGCTGCTCTTTTTGTGAACAAATTGTTAAAGTTTCACTTTTTTTGTTTGACCTCAGTAATGTCAGAACTGGATTTTTTTATAAAAGCAGAAGAAAATATATTTTTAGAGCAACTTAAAGGAGTAGTTCAGTCCAAATATTAAAAAATGGTATTCATTTATCTTAAGGATTCTCTTAATGAAACTAAAAATAATAAATAATCTATTTCACTTTTAAAGCTAAATCTTTTCCTGAATTGGCTGCTAAATAGCTCCATGATTGCAGGTGGGGGCAAATTTGCATAGATGTAATTATTACGTTACAATTTTAGGATTTGTTTGACCCTCACCATACAAACAGAAAGTAATGTTATATATAATTTATAGGTACAATTTATACTTCTAGGTATTTATTGGGGACCCCCAGATTTCCTGGGACTCCAAGTAAAGGCTTACCTTGCTGATTGTTTAAATCTGCCCCTGCTTATTCAATCTATTTAAGTCAGTTTTACTGTCAAATTTTAATGTTGAAGAAAAAAAAAACACTTTCAATACTAGCAAATGTTTAGCAAAGAATAATCAGCATAATTTGCAGTTAATGGCATTCTTCATAAATGTCAGTTTTCACAATATCACAATGAGTTTTATATCAAAACATTTAAATTATGCATTCTCTTTTGCTTCTGGTAGGGTTTTTGCGCATACCTGGAGGAGTGTTTTGTGGATCTGAAGCAGAGGGGTGTAGTTATCGGGTTTGATGCTCGTGCTCACCCTCCCAGCGGCGGCAGTAGTAAAAGATTCGCCTGTCTTGCTGCTTGTGTTCTGATGAGCCGAGGCGTCCCAGTTCACCTCTTCAGTGACATCACACCTACTCCATATGTGGTATGTATGAACTTCCTATACTCACAGAGTAAAAAAATCAGATGTAGTGCTCTTTTTAATATGTTAGAGCCATTACCCTGTGGTAAAGTATAATACATTGTAGTATAGCTGCACGATATTGAAAAAATCAGACATTGCGATATTTAGATTTTCTGTGATATACATTGCAACATGAATACAAATTCAAAAGATAGATTAGGTAGCTCTTTTTGGAATCCATTCATTAAGTATGATTGATCGGGATGATTCTTTATTGAAGAGAATCATGTATAAAATTTAATAGTAAATTACACACAGGACATGGGTGTTAATTTTTCTTTTGTCACCTCCAGTAAGAGTATGGGCCCTATCATACACCCGGCACAATAAAGTGCAAGACGTGTTTAATGCTATTTGTTGCTATTTTCAGACCAGTGCAACCCTAAATTTGATGTTTTGCACTACGTTGTTTAAATAGCTAATCTATTTGAGCCACTTTGTGGACTTGTGGGTGTGCTGGTCTAAAAAGGAGGTGTGTTAAGGCGCATTGTTGGCCCTGTTGCTATTCTAAGGAACTGAAAAAGACCATATTATTGACCAGCATTAATTATGCACCTGTGCAGGTCCAAAACGTGTAAACATTGCTTACTACACACAGGATGTACAACAATACACAAATATCTTTACATATGAGAAATAAATAAAGGATTGAAATGTTACAAAAATGACAATGTTCTACATAAATATAAAAACCATTATCTCCATGCCTTCTTAATGTTGGGGGGCTTTTTCAGTTTATTTATGACAATATGCCTTTGTATAATGTTATTATTTTTATGATTATTATCATTTATTATATGCATATTTATATTTGTTTTAATAAAAACAAGTTTAGATTTGTTTACCTGTTGGGTTTTGGAGAAGTATGCGTCACCATATGCGGCATAAGAATAGGACGTGGGTTTAGATTTTCCACACTTCTGTATTTTTGTTTATTTATTCGTTTGCTGAAAATTAGAACAGAATTTAGAAGTAGTTTTGAAACAAATCTTTGCCCTTAAAGGGTCACGAAACACCAAAACACATTTTTTGAGCTGTTGACAGTCGTATATGTGTCCCACACTGCTAAAAACACTATTAGGACACCTATATTTCACTAAAAAGTGTAAATTGGTTGTTTTTGCGTTATTTCAAGCAAATTTGTACTTCATGTTTGAAACGAATTTTTGAAGCTGCGTCACGGCCATGACATAATAGCGTGTATTCCAGCGTGCAGACTGGGCGTCTGTGCCTGAGTGAGTCTTATTACGTCTTACAGTGTGATACATTAATGCATGAGTAAGTCTTGGTTCAAACCAATCAGCGCGCTCTATTGTGGACCTTCATCAATATTCATTAGTGTCACCGTGTTTACGCCACAAAGACGCCACGTTGTGTTGGCAAAACAAGCGTGAAGTGTTGCTTTTATAGTTTGCTGCCGTTAAGTTTCGTTTTCATTTTCTCTCTGTGAGAGCTCAGTCTCACGTGTGGATTAACAGTGTACGCGACGCTCGACAACAATAACTTACGTGTCTGAGGATTATTGTTTACCTGAGAGCTGTTCTCATCTGCAAACGCTGAAATCTGAATTCGCTTGTAATATTCTCTCCATAAAGACGCGGCTCTAGTTGCTGGTGATTGTCCTGTCTCTACAGATTTGGTAAGTGAGCGACCAGTGCTCTTTGTTTATTCAGTTTGTTCGTATTGAATTAAGTTAACTATTGCACTGAGTGCAGAAATGTTAGCACCGCATTTAGTGACCGGAATAACACACGCGGCTTTCTGATGCTACCTGCCGTGTGCATCTAAGTTTCCGGGAAATGCGGAGTTTTTTTCTCTCTCATTCGCCGTGCGGTATCAAACATTGCATGAAAAATACACGCTTGCAGCAGTTCCTTGAATCAAATATCTCGTTTGTCGTGAGAGGCATGAATGAATTCCCTGTAGAAAGAGCCAAACTGCAGTTAAAGTCCAACTTTTAATAATTTGGCAAATAATTCGATTACAGATGTCCATGTAAACACAGTCACATTGTCCGCTGTGGGTGTGTATTTTGACTCTGAAACTCGCGCGTGCACAAATAGACACTCCCACACCATCCCACTTTAGTTCCTCCGACACTCCCCCCTAAACTAAGCTGGACACGCCCACTTTTCTGACTTTTTCCAAAGCAGAGGTGTGAAAACACCCTGCTGAAACGGGGGGGTTTCATGGCCCTTTAAACTAAATTAAATATATAGGCTGATGGATGTCTTCAGTGAAGTGAGTTTCCACCATTTCCTTAACCACAAATGTAAAGGAGTAAAGTAAAAGAAAGTAAAGAGGGCGAATGGAGGAGGCTCGTTCTTTATCCTTTTGCTGCAGATGGTCTGTTTAATTGCTTTCTCGCTATAGTGAAGCATTCAGTTTTTCCACTTACAATGTCCTCCATATAAATAGTAAATGTGCAACGCGTCTGACTCTTAAAGGGAACGGGAGATGAGTCTCTAATTGGTTTAATGCAGGTAATGCTCAAAACACACCCATAATTTATTAAGAGAATAAGCATAAGCCTGTTAGACCATACGCCAGGGCACAAAGCACATTTTTCCATCTTTAAAATGGCAAAAGCAGATTCAGACATGTCCTTAATGCTTTTGCGCCATGTGCTTTAGACTTTGCGCCTTTGTGCTTGGAACACATTCAAACACATGAAGTAGTAGCAGTGTGCACTTTTTTATTATTTAATACAACTTACAAAGACTACAAAAAAAAACAAAGAGAAACTAAACACATTGTGAGACTGTTGCATACGAGACTACAGGGGTTCATGAAGATTCTTCACCAATCATCAACTTTTTTTTTTTTTTGGGTTCCCATGAGTCCACGAACATGCTTTTGCTCATTCTCTTATCACTCTCGCAACCTTTCCCTTTGAGCCCTCAAACAGCTTTCTCTCACTGTGTATGTCCTCTGGCCCAAATAGTTTTGGTCACAGTTATGTAATAAAATGCTTCTTATGATTTAAAATGTTTCTTATGATTTGTAATTGAAAACCTCGCAGTATTATTCATCTTTCCAAATATGTTATTTGAGGATTTTTGTGGAATCTAAATGTCATATTCTCAGTTTTCAGCAAAGTGCGGGTCTGGGTACAAATTTTGTCCCAGTCAGAGCACTGCCACAACATAATCTTGTTCGTCTTGTATGCTTGAAGCACTTTTTTGTTTTACCATGCTTTTTTAGGTAGTGCTCCTTTCAAAAATGGCTCGATCCATTATTGCTTATTCTCTTCTCAGAACGCCAACATTAAATAAATCAAAACTATTCATAGTACATCGTAATGTTGAAGAAATGAATTCTTGATTGTTGCTGGTTTTCCTTTTTGGGAAAAGGTAAAATTTGTAGTTTTTTACTTTTGATCATTAGTTGGCACCTTTAACCCATTAGGTAGGTTTATACAAAAAGCTTTCTGGAGGTTATATGTAGTTCTATGCAGTAAAACAACTAATTACTGTATAGTGTGTGTAAGTGTAAATACAGTCACTATGTTGAGCTGAGGTGCTTATTTTGATTTTCTCACCCTGATATAAGTGTGCAAAGGTATCTCTTACACTGTCACACACACAGAGACACACACTATACTCCATATAGCTCCATATAGAAGCCAAAAACTACGCTTTTTTGCACTGCAATTGATGATCAACACCAACAATTACAAATTTCACCTCTTCCCAACAGGGCAAACCCCCAACAATCAAGAAGACATAATAATATGGTGTCATGGATTTGCAATCAAAAAATGTCATCACAATTGAAGTCAAGGGGGTAAAACCAGCCCCTAACCTAATGAAAGGGTGGTAAATTTGCCAATTTGGTTGAATTTTTTAAAAGCGTATTCCAGCAAATATGATCAAGAAGTTGAAATATTTGTTACAAAGTCAAGCCACGTTAAGAAAGCAATAATACCGCAAAGAAGTAACTTCACTATGTTTCAATTGACTTTGTATTCCTGATTGCCCTAGGTGGTTTCATGTTGATAAAACTCTACCGATAAAGAAAAGTGGTGGTTTTATATGTTTGATTTATTTTAGTTTGATTACACTGTTAAAATGTCAGATTTATTTATTGCAACAGTAAAACATGGATGATTACTTTCTGAAGCTGTAGTAAAGCTTTCTTTTCCATGAAATAATATGAAACATAGAGTTAAAGTTGGATTTATTTATTATCTCCTCTGTATATTTTTTTACAGAAATATTTTTTCAACACATTTCTAAACATGATGACAGTTTTCTAATTTTTAATAACTGATTTTTCTTTATCTTCGCCATGATGACAACATAATATTTTACTAGATATTTTTAAGGTACTAGTGTCCAGCTTAAAGTGAAATTTAAAAGCTTAACTAGTTTAATTATCTGGTGTCATGATCAGCTGTGATCCAGCAGTTGCAGATCACTGGAGAACCACAAATTTCATCATCAACCACACACACACACACACACACACACACACACACACACACACACACACACACACACACACACACACACACACACACACACACACACACACACACACACACACACACACACACACACACACAAACACACACAAACACACACACACACCAGTGCCAGTTTTCTAATTGCACACACACAGCTGGAAGCTCATCATAGACTGATTACCAGGACTATAAATACACCTCACATTCACACACACAGTGTTGAGTCTTGTTTACCTGTAACATTACCAAGCGTTTCCTAGTCCAGTCTTGCCATGCTTCTGGATCCTTATTTTTGTTCTTTATTTATCCTGTTTGCTGCCTTCACTGACCTCTGCCTGTGACCATGACTATGCTTTTGGAGTACCCTCATGAAACCTTTTGTTCCTGTTGACCATTGCTTGCCTGACCAAGCTGTAAATAAACTGCATTTGGACCCTTGACTCTGTTGTTCCCCGACTCCCTTGTTACAGATGGGTTTGGGTAATAAGGCAAATCATTCCATAATGATGGTTTGTTCTGTAGACAATTGACAAAAAATATGGCAAAAGGGGGTAATAATTTTGACCTTAAAATGTTTTTAAAAAAATAAAAACTGCTTTTATTCCAGACAAAATAAAGAAAATAATAAGAAAAATATAATAGTAAATACTGGGGAAAATTCCCATTTTCCACACATTCCACACATCATTTGGGAAATGTTAGCAAAAGGAAAAAAATTATTTTGATAATTTTGACTTGAACTGTATGTTGGTTACATGATTTTTAACCGATATGTGAAAATATAGTATTGCATATTGAATATTGCATTATTTAGCATGCATACTATGTATCACATTTACTTCAATCTCAACAACCTAATAAAACAGATAACAGCTTCAATTGCAGTAATATTTTAATATATAATACTATTTTACTGTAATTTTTACCAAAGACATAAACATACAGACCCCAAAACCTTACCCCTAAAATCAAACTGTAATGCAAAAAATGACCACGTCTTCTCTTTTCCTCTATTTCTTTTAGCCTTTTGCTGTGTCGCATCTTGGACTGTGTGCTGGTATCATGGTAACAGCCTCCCATAATCCCAAACAAGATAACGGATACAAGGTAGCATCCAACCCTCAATTAAATCTGATGTTTAATTTGGAAGACTAGATTTTCTAACATTTTATTTGGAGAAATTTGACATTTATCGGGTGTTTATGTGTTTAAGGTGTACTGGGCAAACGGAGCTCAGATCATTCCTCCTCATGATAAGGGCATCGCTGCAGCTATAGAACAAAACCTTGAGCCCTGGCCTGAATCCTGGGACACAGATGAGGGTCTTCGGAGTTCACTGCTTAATGACCCATATCAGGACATACACAGAGAATACTGTCAAACCATCCAGCAGCACTGCTTTCACAGGTACACTCATTGCATGTAAACAAGTCAAACAAGCCACTTGGGAAAAAAAAAATTATAAAAAAAAATATATATATATAATTAAATATATATATATATATATATATATATATATATATATATATATATAGAGGTGGGCATAGACAAATTTTTTTATCTAGATTAATCTCGGAACTAATCTAGATTAAAATGGCTCATTTAAAATCTGTCGAAGACATTCAGATTATGTTTGCTACTCAAATTATAAGTCTTTGGGAACTGGTTTCTTAAGCCAGGTGGCGCATCAGACAAGGGCTCATCTCCTGTTTCCAAAATGCTTCAGAGACAGCTTGAGAAACTGTTCTACTATGATAATTGATGATGAAAATATATTGGATTTATGTATGGATATATATTAGTGACATTACTGAAGTAAACACCTCAACATTGTAAAATGTGGAAGTTTTTTTCTTTCCAGTTGGCGTGCGTTAATAAATTCTATAACACTCTCACCAGTCCTTACTCCTTATCTGCGTCTAATACCCCAGTTTGTCACGAAGGCATGAATGAAATGTTCATAAGTTAAAGGGAAACTGTCGAACTGCAGTTAAAGTTTGATTTGATTCAGAAGGGCACTTTTTTGTCAGACGGCTCACCGATCAGGTATACATACTCTCTAAAATATCAAGGTGTAAGTCATCATAGCTTGCGTACAATAGACCTAGCTTCCAAACCAACTTTGAGAATATATTAACGGTGATTTTTGTTTATCGCGCGATGAGAGTCTCGTGTTAACACAGCACGTTATCGCAGATAATGGTCCACCACTAACATAAACTCAATATAAGAAACAGGGAAGTAGATTGCTTGGAATAATACAATTTGGGTTTGGGTATTAACATTAACCCAGTATTTGTTGCTTCTGTTTTTTCAGTTTTTTATTTTAATATTTTAGATATTTACTTTATGTTATTTGCTTAATGATTTTATTGTTTATGGATCAATCTTTGCATTGTATGATGTTAGTTGTTTTGTTGTTTTTTGTGAGTTTTTAATGAATTCAGAAAGTACATTTTTTTGATAAGTAATGCATTTTCATTTTTGACTAATTATTGTTCGGTGTCATTTCATTGCAGGGTTTTTGCTTTTGGAATTCTTATATTTAAAAAAAAACTCAACCTAAAAACTTTTATATAACCTTCAATCTGTTTGCTTAATTAATAGAATATGTTTTAAACACTCCAGAAGGACCCAAAGTATGAATCACTGGTCCCTTTCTTAATTAAAGATTGTTTTTACGAAGCTGCTAGTTCAAATCATTCAGACACCTTTTAAATGGAAGAAATCAGGCTTTACTTTACGTTTCATTGATTGTATTTAATTAGCAATAAAATCATTGTGTCGGTTTGCAATGGCAATACATCACTATTTAGAGCAAGGCAGGGCCCCAAAATCATTCTGCTTAGGGCCCCCAAATGTACCTTGCCGGCCCTGAGTTGCTGTTGTGATGTGCGTTTAACGCAATAGACTGTACCTTGTGTATGCTTCATATAGATTTTAAAAACATAGAACATTTCGTCCCCTTAAAATTATAAGGTTCTATCTGACATTTTTGTCAAAATTAAGTTATTGACATATTCTTATTAAATGACTTATTTACATTATGGGATGGTTTTTATAAGTTGTTTACATTTTAGGACTTTTTATTTAAAAATCAAATGTTACACACATACTGTTTGCTATGGAATACAAAAACTTTGAAGCTTAATATCTCAAAATCATTCGGAACGCAGAAAGAACCTCATAATTCCAAGATGACAATTTGTTTTCAAGTGTTGTAGGTTTATTTGAAAGTAGAGATTTTATGTTTTATGTGAATCTACCTCTCATGTGTATGAGGCAAGTATTTGCTGAGGTTCCTGTGTGTTTGCTGACCTTCAGAGGGTTCATAACAACTGCAGAAACCGGGTGAGATCTGAGTGGACCTGCATGATTTGTATGGATGTTATGATGTTACACAGAGCTCCCCCCAGTGGAGAACCATAGAATTTTCAAAACGTTTTGAAACGGTAATAATGATAACACAACTTCTGTCCTAACAGGGAGCTGAATAGGAATACAGCAGTGAAGATTGTACACACATCAGTTCATGGAGTGGGACATATTTTTGTCCAGGCTGCTTTTAAGGCCTTCGATCTTCAGCCTCCATATGCCGTGGAAGAACAGAAAGATCCTGATCCGGAGTTCCCTACCGTCAAATACCCAAACCCTGAGGAGGGAGAGGGAGTCCTGGTACAGTACACTGACACAAACACACAGTCTGCATTATTCAAATTGCCTTTTGATCTGAAAAAGTGACATTTAGTCTTATATTACACAGAAAAAATGCCTTTTTGGATCAACTTAAATAAATTACTACAACTTCTTACGCTTAAAAAGAATAAAGTTTTTCCAACGTGTTTATTACTGAAAACCACAATAAATTAAGTGGAAACTATTTCATTCATGCTGTTGTATCAAGCTGAAATAATTGGTTTAAATTTTCACTTTTTACAGTGTATGTAAGTGATCACCAAACTTGTTCCTGGAGGGCCGGTGTCCTGCAGAGTTTAGCTCCAACCCTAATCAAACACACCTGAACAAGCTAATCAAGGTCTTACTAGGTATACTTAAAACATCCAGGCAGGTGTGTTGAGGCAAGTTGGAGCTAAACCCTGCAGGGACACCGGCCCTCCAGGACCAGGATTGGTGAACCCTGGTGTATGTAATGGCAAATGAATCTATATTTGTTTGTGTATGTAGACGCTGTCCTTCGCGCTTGCAGATAAAGAAGGAGCAAGTGTTATTCTGGCGAATGACCCTGACGCTGACAGACTAGCTATTGCAGAGAAACAGGAGAGGTCAGTGTTGTTTAGCATTTTGTGTTGCTTTTCATTCAGCATGTCAGATTATAAACGACTGTAATTCTCTGTAGTGGGAAGTGGAGAGTTTTCTCTGGGAATGAATTAGGTGCTTTACTCGGCTGGTGGATTTTCCAATGCTGGAAGCAGCAGAAAGTGGAAGGAAAAGGCTCCATTAAGGACGTCTACATGCTATCCAGCACAGTCTCCTCAAAAATCCTCAGAGCCATTGCAGTGAAAGAAGGCTTTCACTTTGAGGTAGGTTTCATTGTTTGCCTGTGAAAAGTAATAAAATGAATGATTCTTCAGTTGTGTGGGTTTTCTAACTCAGTGGTGTCCATCGTTTTTTAAACTCAAGGCACCTCTTTGTTCAGGAGAATATTAAATTTAGACTAATAAAATATATGATGCCATTTTTATGTTTTAAGCATGGCATTTAAATGGGCTCTATTAATTCTTTAATACTGAACTCTTTCAAATGCCTTGATTGTAGTTTTTAGACTGTAGTTTTACACTTCAAATTAGCCTGATTCCTAAGCAGCAGACACAAAAATAGGTTGTTTTTGCTTCCACTCAAAAAGGGAATTTAAATTTAAAGCATGAAATGATAAACAGGTTTTTAGGTATTTAAAGTTGAGGCATTCTGGACATTCTCAGGGCTTTTGGGATTTTGCATCTTGTAAAGCAGTGCTAATTTCATCAATGAATGCTAGGATGAAAACTATTTGTTGCTAATGGCCAGAAACTTGACAGGTCTGCTGTACCAATAGTGTGACTCAAAAACTACAGTGTGAATTTTTACAGAATAATGATAATAATCTACTGTAGTTTAGTCATCATATAGTATAGGTTTCTGAAAAACAATGGGAATTCTTTGGTATTTTTAACTGACTGTTTGCGTGTTGACCTTCTGCATATCTCTCGTGCAGGAGACTCTTACAGGCTTTAAATGGATGGGAAACCGAGCCAGAGAGTTGATGGACCAAGGAAAGACTGTTCTGTTTGCCTTTGAAGAAGCTATTGGTAAACATGGCTCACATCTACACTACAAATCACTAGACATGCATTTCTGTGAAATTCAGACACATTAAAACACGTTAAAACAAGCACCCGTGTTAACAAATTAGACAGACTTAGAAAACGGTTACACCGTGCATGCTGAGTGAGTAATAAAGCCATTTTCCATTATGCAAACATGTATTCGCTCAGAATGAGACATTGGATTAGCTTTTATAAAACACGTCTTGTCCTGTGTTGTTTTAACGAATGCCATTACAATCTTGCCATCACAGTCAAACGAAAGTGTTTAATTAATGATTTAGAGTTCCATTTGATTTAGAGAATTTTGTTATTTAGAAATCGAATGTTCTTTTTACCCCAACGCAATTTAATAGGGCACTATAATGGCTAAAGAACTTAATTCTTATATTTGCTTAATATTTGCAGCCTAGGCTACTTTTCACCATGTATTGTAGAGATCTTTTCTAAAACATACAGTATAGTGTGAAAGCATGTTTATTACTAAGGAAACCAAAACAAACAAACAGAATTATATTAATTGAACACATCACATCATATACAGTACCTTTGCATAAGGTACACATATAGTACCAGGGGCATTGCTAGACCCCATTTACTGGGGCACGTGCCCCAGTAAAATGATCCAGTGCCCCAGTAAATGCTTTGAGATATGATTTACTTTATATGCAAGTGTATTTATTAAGTGTTTTTATTAATTTATTCATTTTTTTATTTAATTTATTAAGATTGGTAATCCCAGAATAAAACCATTATTCTCTATGTGCAACTGGACCAACACTGATGAAAGAAATATTTTAATCAAAAAGCAAACTGATGCTTAAACTAAAGTTTAAATAATGTGATGGGGATCTTATTTAGGCTAAGCATGGCTTCTGGTTGATTTTTTGTACGAAGCAAAAGGAGGGATGACGAGTGAGGAAGGTAAGACTTAATAAGCCTTATTCTCAGCCATGTGTCAAGTCTAAGACAACAGATCATTTTAAAACATATTTTTTGTATTCTTTAGTATTGTCTATGGAATTTAATTTAATATTTGTGCAAAAGATTTCTTCAATGATCAGTGCCCCAGTACAGCTGTCACGGTTTGTGTAGGCAGGGGAAAGGAGCGAGGACTCAGGTGCAGAACCAAATGGGGTTTTATTAATAGTAAAAATAAATTAAACAGCAAAATAACCTACCCTGAGGGGTAAAACATTAATAAAACAAACAAACAAGCAAGATTGGGCAGGCTGGCAGGAATCAGGGCTGGCAGGGATCAGGACTGAAACAAACAGGGCTGGAACACTCAGGACAAGGCAACATATGATGACAAACTGGCACAGGACAGAAGACATGAGGAGATTATAAGCAGAAGTAAATTAGCACACAGAGACACACACAATGACAGAAAACAAGTGCTCCACCTGAGAAGAGTCGAGCCGAGCACAACAGGACAGGACAGAGCTAGTGTCCGGACTCCAAAACAAGAATTGCCACCAAAACAAGAATTTACAAGACCAGAGTGGCAGAACCCTTACAACTGCTTTATGTATGGCAACGCCCCTGTACAGTACCATCTAGTATTGTGAAAAGGCAAAGATGAGAATTGCGTGTTGATGTTTTAGCTGACAAAGTCTTTGGTTAACAAGCGCTAAGCTGTCAACAGTTGTAGGCGCATTTACTGCTGCAGCGGCGATGGAGAGAAGAGCGGCAGAGGGGGCCATTTAGTGGTTTATAGACAAGTAATATTACTTCAAATCTATTCTGAATGTGACTGGCAACCAGTGTAAAGACCTGAGGACAGGTGTGATGTGCTTTAATTTTCTGGTCGGAATCCTGGCAGCAGCATTCTGGATGAGCTGTAACTCTCTTGACTGTCTTTTTGGGAAGGCCAGTGAGGGGGACATTACAGTAATCCACCCTGCTGCTAATAAAATCATGAACAAGTCCTCACTGGAAACAAAGCATCTATTTTTTTATATATATTATTTATTATATTTTTGAGTCAATAGTATTTTATAGTTATTATCAAATTAATAAAAATAAATCAAGAAAAAACTATCGAAATAAGAGCTTTGAAATCAGAATCAAGTACATTCGAATCCATACAAGCTCTACAAGAGACTTACTGAAAATCATAATTTTGCTTATGAGTTAGACACCTTTTCCCAAATTATAATGCTGTACTCCTTTAGTGTGTGTTGTGAGTTATCTGGGATGAAATGTTCTGCTAAATAAATGACACACGGCTCTCTGTCCTAGCTAGGATTCTATATAATATGATACGTATTAGAAGTATCATTGTGATTCAGTAAAGTCTTGTGCATCACAATATCACAATAGTATTGCACTTCATACTACACCAAACAAACTGTCCTCAGTATGAATGTGTTCTATAAATACACCGTCCAGTGGCGCAAGCATAAGAAACCTTTAATGTGTGTGTTTATTTCATTTTGTAGGTTACATGTGTTCTCCTGCAGTTTTGGACAAAGATGGTGTGAGTGCAGCTGCTATTGCTGGTGAATTCATCTCTTACCTGGCATCTAAAAACATAACTCTGTCCCATCAACTGAGATCCATTTATGAAGAGTATGTCACTAAAAATGCATCACATACATCTCTTATAATATTCTTAATATTAAATACTGGATAATCTTAATATTAATCATAAATCTGTGCTTTCAGGTACGGTTACCACATTACCAAGAACTCCTACTTCATCTGTCACAACCAAGACACCATTAAAAAGTTGTTTGAGCGCCTCCGAAACTACGGAGTGGACAACTCGTACCCTAAAGAGTGTGGAGGTTTTGCCATCAGTGCAGTGAGAGACCTTACAACTGGATACGACAGCAACCAGCCCAACAACAAGGCCGTGTGTAGCTCATAATGATTGCAGAATTTTTTTGGTAGATAAGCCTATTTGTGTCTTATATGTGTGTTTCTGTAATTGCAGGTTCTGCCCACTAGTAAGAGCAGTCAGATGATTACCTTCAGTTTTGCTAATGGTGGTGTGGCTACAATGAGGACCAGTGGAACGGAGCCTAAGATCAAATACTACACTGAACTCTGCGCTGCACCAGGAAACAGGTTTCAAAAGGCTTCATCAGTTCACACTGTTAAGCTGGGTTCACATCAAATGTGAACTTAAGTGTTTGTGTTAGTACATATAATGCAAGTCAATACAAATGCTTGAACAGAAGGGAGGGGTTTGGATGCAGAACTGGGGCAGTCCAATCTGAGCTGCATTCAATGCTTTTTATTCAAACTAACCCCACCCCTAACCCTTCCCGTCACATTGATGTCACTCACTCCATTGAGTGCATTGTGTCCAGTGCCGGCGCGTCCATGGACCTAGGCGGCCGCCTATGGCAGCAGAATAGAGAGGGCGGCGTCTGCGACACTACCCTCACCACCCGCGCCCTCATATATATCCACATCTAGTTCGGTAGAATAGAGAGGGCGACGTTCGCAACACTACCGTCACCACCCGCTCCCTCAGTTATATCCGCGTCTAGGGCGGCAGAATAGAGAGGGCGGCATCCGCTACACTACCCTCACCATCCGCGCCCTCAGTTATATCCGCATCTAGGGCGGTAGAATAGAGAGGGCGGCATCCGCGACACTACCCTCACCACCCGCTCCCTCAGTTATATCTGCATCTAGAGCGGCAGAATAGAGTGGGCGGCATCCGCGACACTACCCTCACCATCCGCGCCCTCAGTTATATCCGCATCTAGGGCGGTAGAATAGAGAGGGCGGCATCCGCGACACTACCTTCACCACCCGCTCCCTCAGTTATATCTGCATCTAGGGCGGCAGAATAGAGTGGGCGGCATCCGCGACACTACCCTCACCATCAGCGCCCTCAGTTATATCCGCGTCTAGGGCGGCAGAATAGAGAGGTCGGCGTCTGCGACACTACCCTCACCATCACCATCCGCGCCCTCGGTTATATACGCGTCTAGTGTGATAGAATAGAAAGGGTGGCATCCGCGACACTACCCTCACCATCCGTGCCCTCAGTTATATCCGCATCTAGGCGGCAGAATAGAGAGGGCGGCGTCCGCGACAGCCCCCCTCCCCTTTCATTTTAGGGTTGAGGGCGGCGGGACCGTCCTTTGCCTAGAGCGGCAGTTCAGTTTGCTCCGCCCCTGATTGTGTCTGACATTGCTTCGCTGAGTAATGCAATCTCAGCTTGCATCATAAAGGCTGCATCCAGATACTATTGGAGCAGAGGCTAATTTCCACAAGGTGGCATGAATGACGTACAGTATAACGCATGATGTAAAATTCACCTCAATTGCATCTTCCATGCAAGTTAAAAAAGTATATAATTTAATGCAATCTCTAGTGGCTAATTTGTTGAGTTCAAATGAATTTGTATAATTATATTCTTACATTTTAGTACAATTTGCCCATATCCCATTCATGGTTTGGTTTAGACACTCCTCTTTTTAAAAATGGTAAAATTTTGTGTGATTGAAATCATATATATTTGTACAAATTAGCCACTTTTCTGAAAATAGTTTAAGATGTTGCGTTTCGTTGTGAGATTGGGCTGGATAATTTGTGTTTAAAAACATCCTGTGAGTAATCTAGGGCAGGGGTTCCCAAACTTTTCAGGCCGCGACCCCCAAAATGACAATGCCAGTGACTCGTGACCCCCAATATCCTCTGAGGTGGTTATAAATACAGAAACCTTGCATGCAATGGCACACACACAAACCAGTGGACCCAAGTTTATTCTTCTTTTAATTTTTTTTATGTATGAGAGCTGTAAATGGACCACAAAGTTTAACCAGGTGTTATGAAATCTGCTGCATCTGACGCTATTGCTTTGTCTTTAATACAATGCAATTACCTCAGGGGTTGCAATCCAATAGAAGTAGTAACTATAGGCTACTAGTAACTATATATGGTATAAACGACTGTTTTTTTCTCTTCAGAAGGTTATGGATAAAATATGGTAATTCTTATGGTTTAATAAAAATAAATAGATTTTTGGAAACCACCAGGCGACCCCCCTTCATTGTCCCGCAACCCCTCGGGGGGTCCCGACCCCCACTTCGAGAACCATTGATCTAGGGTAATCTAGGTTACGCAGTGCTTTGCATCTGGTGTGAACCCATCAGAACTATTTTTGTTTTTATTAATATTATTATTAACAATAAATGCAAAGACAAAAGGCAGTAGATGAGTAGTTTAGTTTGACCAGTTCAGTTTTTATTTGGACACTCAGGATTGCCTTTATCACAGTCAGTTTTGCTGTTTTTCTAATCACAGAATTGTTTTGCTACACTTTTATGGTATTACCTCAGTAATAGTATTTTTCTTATTTTTTATGCATAAAATATATTTAATAAAATTATTAAATGTAAACTTTTTAATAGAAATATCTATTTTATATAAATTGTATTAGTTATAGGAGCGAAACGGTGGTGCAGTAGGTAGTGCTGTCACCTCACAGCAATAAGGTCACTGGTTCGAGTCTCGGGTGGGTCAGTTAGTGATTCTGTGTGGAGTTTGCATGTTCTCACCGCGTTTGTGTGGGTTTCCTCTGGGTGCTCTGGTTTCTCCCACTGTCCACAGTCCAAAGACATGCAGTACAGGTGAATTGGGTAGGGTAAAATGTCCATAGTGTATGAGTGTGAATGAGTGTGTATGGATGTTTCCCATGGGTTGCGGCTAAAAGGACATCCGCTGCGTAAAACATATACTGGATAAGTTGGCGGTTCATTCTGCTGTGGTGATCCCAGATTAATAAAGGGACTAAGCCGAAAAGAAAATGAATGAATGAATGTACTAGTTATATTCTTATATTAGTTCTTATCACTAGTATTGTAGAAATTTTATTGTTAATGCATTAACCAGATTTTTTCTATCTGATACCATGATTATTAGTATTCAATATGACGATATTATGGTAATATTACAAATGTATTACTTTAGTCACAATAGATATCATTCATTCATTTATTTCTTTTCTTTTCAGCTTAGTCCTTTTATTAATCTGGGGTCACCACAGCGAAATGATCCGCCAACTTATCCAGCATATTTTTTATGCAGCAGATGCCCTTCCAGCTGTAACCCATCTCTTGGAAACTTCCATACACACTTATATTTTACGGACAATTTAGCCTACCCAATTCACCTGTACCGCATGTCTTTGGTGAATTGGGTAGGCTAAATTGTCTGTAGTATATGAGTGTGAATGAGTGTGTATGGATGTTTGCCAGTGATGGGTTGCAGCTGGAAGGGCATCCGAGGCATAAAAATTATGCTGGATAAGTAGGCGGTTCATTCCGCTGTGGCAACCGCGGATTAATAAAGGGACTAAGTCGAAAAGAAAACGAATGAACGAATTAATAATGATAATATGTAAAGCAATTGCCTTAGTTTAATATTGATATTAATTATAAAAATCAATAAAATGATTATTATTTTTAATAATAATCTTATTATTATTATTAATATTATTATTAATCTTATTATTATTATTATTATTATTATTATTTATCTTATTATTATTATTATTATTAATATTATTATTATTATTATTTTTGTTTCCTCATAAAGGACAGAAAAATATCCATAGCCGGTCACATGCCTTAATATGCAACACAAGCCTTCATTGTGTGATAAACAATGGTCAGTAGTAACCCTATAGAAATTCTCAATGTTATTTTACATTTAAGGTATTCTGTGTTTACAGAACAGAGAGATAGTCCTACTCTAAAGAGATAATCCTACTCTTGGCATTTGTTAAATAATTGAAATAGCTCACAAGTAGAATTTGATTAGTATAATCATGCTTTCTGTCTTTATCTCTAGTGATCTCAACCAGTTGACAAAGGAGTTGGATAACCTGGTTGATGCCATCGTGGAGCACTTCTACCAACCTGAGAAAAACGGCCTGACTCCCCGACCAGAGTGAGAGATACCACAATACGCCACTACCGGGATGTTCTTAACTAATTCTGCTCTTAGTCTTAAACAACCACACATAACCAGTTTTATCACATGGGTCTTAATCTATGCAGGTTTCCTATGCACTTTTATCTGCTTTTAATGCAGGAAACGTAGATCAAATCTGGTGCCACATGAACATAACCGTTGCCTTTTTCATTTACTGGTTCATTTCACCACTTCTCAGTTTTATAATCTATGATATTATGTTATATATATATATATATATATATACAAGCAATTATTTTTATTTGCCTTTTTAGACGTTTAGTAGTGAACTATGAATGTACTAATTAACAGAGTTTGAATTAATTTAAAGGTTATTTACCTTAGCAGATATTTTAGGTGATTGACACAAATGTTTTCATATTGCAGGAGTACAAGACAGTGTCTAGTTACTGTTCGATTTAGACCAAATAACCTCACAAATCAGAATGCCAGCTATAGATTAGCTATGTTCAAGTCTAGAATTAAACCAAAAATCATTTAAAAGGAATGAGAGAGACCTTTACCTGGGACAAAAAGACTGATACCGATTTTAAGCTTGCCAAGTTTATATGATTCCATTGCTTCCTCATTCCACCATCTGTATTTAGTGACCTTTAGTTGTGTAATTTATGAAATGTGAGGTGTTTGTAAATGTTTGTCAACATTTTGAGATTGGGAACAAGTTTGTAATGTTTTATTCTCTCCTCCCCATTCCAGCACATGAGTTGTTTTCTTGAAAGCATAAGTGCTTGACCAAGTAGATTTCTGGCAATTAAGTAACTTGTTTTGAAACATCAAATAGCCATTGCATTGAGATTAATGCTGTATTACCAGCACAATGGGCTATATGCACACAGACTTTTAATTTTCAACCAGGCAGCCCAAGGGCTTCCGGTGAACTGTCTTTCCATAACGTTTAAGATCTGATTTCTTTAAAAATCAGCGATATTCACTGCCTGTTAGATATACGATATGAAGTGAGTCTCAGATCGGACAAGTAGCACTGCATTAATATATATTTCCCCACCATGTTTTTAAAATATAACAAGTATTTTCAATGGAATTTCTGCGCTAGCCTGTTGCCACAGACAGCCCTAGCTGTCTTTTATCTCGTTTTAGGCTTCAACAACTAAATGAAAGCTAAGTTTATTTAACTGAATGTAATGTAATTACATTACAACATCGATGCTGTAAAAACAATCTTGTGAAATTGAAAATAGTCACATTAAGCTTTCACCGGAAGTTTATCATTGGCTTTAAAACTCTAGCTGTGCATAGAGCCTATTGTTCACTAGTTATGAATTCATGTTATTTTATGTAAAGCTGACCAGTCAGTCCACCATCTTTTTCATGTAAACAGATTTAATATGTTTCGGGTGCTATTTAGTTTAACATTTTAATCACAAAGTTGTTTAACCCCCTGTTTTAAATGAATAAACTGCAAGTGGTCACCACAGAGTGCTCGTCTGTGCAAAAGAGGGATTGGGTGTCTTATCTGTTCAAGGCCAGTAAAGGGTTTTGTGGATCTTTTACATATTTGAAGACTTCAGATGCAATTGAATTTTGATCTAAAATAAGCCTTTTTTCTGCCTGCTGTGTTTATGTTCAGTTATTTCACTTTAAAAGCAATAAAATGAACCTATTCTTTTGCCTAAAAAGTGAAATTGCTGAACCTACACATAGGATGCTCAAAAAAGTGCTTAGTTCAGAAGAAACATTTAGATGGCACATGGAGGTTTTTGCATCTGAACTCCTAATTTCATCAGTCAAAAGTATAAAAAAAGAGATTCGTTGATGTGATGAAGTGATTAGTGATTTAGTCAAAAACGTTACCAAAAAAGTTAGGACACTCGATACTTCTAAAGCAGTTAGTTGAGTAAATGTTCACTGTAAAAAATGCAGTTCCACACAATTCATTTATGTTGTCCCTACACAGAACGATTGTTATTGTAACAATTTTAAGTGGATTGAATATAAAACTATTAAATTTTCCAAACAAATCTCCAGAATAGTTTTGTTTTAGATAATTTTAAATAAGTAGTTGGAACAAGCAGAAAAAAAAAACATTTTTGATAGTATATGTGTGTAATTAGAAAGAGAAAGTAAAGTCAACCTAAAGATTTTAGGGTTACAATTATTCCTGTTTTAAAGTACAAAAAATTTTAAACCTGAGAGTAGAAACGATGAATGAAGGCACACTTACGGCTGGCTAACACTTATTGAAAACTCAACTGTATTGCTACAGGACATGTACTGTACACTCCAAAAATAACTCATTGGATAAACATAATTTAATTGTGGGCAGGTGACCATTCAATTAATTTGTTTAGCATCAAAAAAATAAATTATTAAAGAAATTTTAAAAAACTATAAATGCAATTGAGTTGGTCCAAAATGATTTTATCAAATAAATGTTAAAATACATTTGTATTTTATTTACTTTAAGCTCACAGGTCTGATAGTATTATGTGTGTCTATTATGTGTCATACATTTCGAAGTCTCTTGAAGTTATCCTAAATTAACTAAAGGAAACATTTTTAAGCATATTTCATGAGTTACATATACAGCTGATTAAGACTGATCTCAGAACTAATTTAAGGACAGTTATTGCTCACTGAGCAAAGCTACAAACTTCATTTTTTGCTATTTTTTCTGTCTACATCCAAAGCATGGGTGCTTCTGCAAGGTGGTAATCTCAAAACTCAAAGCATTACATGTAAATCGTCAAACTAAAGTGAAGATTAAACCCTAACAAGTATTTTATTAACTTTAATCACCTAAGATTACTTGTATTGTCAATGTTTTTCTCTCTTAATTCAATCCTAAGCAAAGCATTCTGGGAACTACAAATCCCCTAACCAGGTAGCTGGACCAACACAATTGCTTCATGTTGTTCCAACAAAAAACGTTTGAGTTAACTTAATTTAATTACAAAAATTGTGTTTTTTCAGCTTATTTTAAACAGGTATTTTAAACAAGCAGCAGTAAATATATTTTTTGTGTATAGCAAAAATGTTAGATGTTAAATGTTACAAATGTTTTTGCACATATATTTCTTAACTTAAACTTGAATTGCCTCTGTGTATGAAATGTGCTATATGAATAAACTTGCCTTGCCTAAATGCGAACAGTCCGAGTTAATGATGACTAAGACATCCTTTTGAAACCCTTTTGAGTGCATGTGAAGAGATTACACAGGAATATGAGTAATATATGACAGAAGTGAATAAAATGTTTTCAGCTCACTTCTCTTTTTAAACCTACCAAAACCCACTAAATCTAGGTAAATTTCAAAGCAAATGCGTACTGTTTTTTTTTAATCCATCTTCTTTTTTTTGCTGATGCGTGTCTTGTCTCCCCTTGATGTGCACGCCATCATCAGTTCAGTTCATTCAAACGTCAGAAGAGAAAAGACTTCCTCATCAGAGCCGCGGGCACGCGCTGCTCTCACTGCTCCCAGTCCACTGTCGTGTTTTTGCTACCGTGAACGACTTACAAAGTGATTTATCGACTACTTTGGACAAACGTCTTCCTGAAAATCAGTTTCCAATGGAATATTACAGTCAGTATTGTCAAAAAGTAACGAGACCGTTATTCAAGCACTTCCTCGACTAGGCGGTTGCAGTGTGTGTAAGGTAAGTGAAAGTTAAATCTTTGGTCCAGTAAGTTTTATAAACGGCAAGTAATTCTTAGTGATAACTAAGATATAGAAAAGTACGCTGCAGCTACAAACATATGACCTTGCCACGCGTTTTCAACATCTTGTTATTTAGTAGGCATTTGACGTGTTTGTTAAAGGTTTACAGGAGCTGGTTACTGTATTCAGACCTATTCTGTGTTTGTGTGTGTACGTGTGTGTGTTTTACATGTTGCCAGTGTCTTCTTGTTGTCATCAGAGAAACTTTCTGTTGACCTCTCTGTAAATAGCAGTTGTGTCTCATTCGACGTGCGTGGCTATTTATAATCCCGGTTGGCTTCAGTGGTTTGCTCTATACTGTATGAGGGATCAGGATATGATCTGGAGGACAATTATCTTCCAGTGCCTCAAAGACTTAAGTTCAGATTTACAATTCCATCTTTAGCCATTATATCATCTGACAAGGCTTCTCTTTCAACAAAGTTTGCACTGAATTATCTTTTTATTAGAAGCACAAAGTCTGTTGTCACAATAAGAGAAAGAAAGGTTTATTTATTTATTTTTGAGAAATAATGCAATCAGATAATGTAAGGGTATAATTGAAAAAGCTGATTTATATGTTATCACATTATTATTATTATTATTATTTTTAGCTGTAAGCTAGCAATGATTTTATCTAAAACTAAAACTCCAAAATTGCATCGGCAATTAAAATGAAGCAATAACAGATAAAGGAAATAAAGGAAAATTGAAATGTCTTTGCAACCAAGTTTATTTATTTTGTACTGTTTTTCTCATATATAACTAAATGTTAGGGCGAGGCAGTGGCGCAGTAGGAAGTGCTGTCGCCTCACAGCAAGAAGGTCGCTGGTTCGAACCTCGGCTCAGTTGGCGTTTCTGTGTGGAGTTTGCATGTTCTTTGCGTGGGTTTCCTCCGAGTGCTCTGGTGTCCCTCACAATCCAAAGACATGTGGTACAGGTGAATTGTCCATAGTGTATGAGTGTGTGTGTTTGTGGATGTTTCCCAGAGATGGGTTGCGGCTGGAAGGGCATCCGCTGTGTAAAAACTTGCTGGATAAGTTGGCGGTTCATTCCGCTGTGGCGACCCCAGATTAATAAAGGGACTAAGCCGACAAGAAAATGAATGGATTAAATGTTATTTAAATGTCAACTAAAATAATAACTATTATAAAATAATAACTAATATAAATATATAATATTTGTATATATTACAATATGGGTGACACGTATCGCTTCACAGCAAGAAGGTGGCTGGTTCGAGTCCCGACTGGGTCAGTTGGCATTTCTGTGTGGGGTTTGCGTGTTCTTTCCATGTTTGCGTGGGTTTTCTCTGGGTCCTCCGGTTTCCCCCACAGACCAAACCCTCATGACTGGACCCAGTCTGGCTTCCAGACAAGGGCCAAACATGAACCATATCTGGGCCAAGTCTTAGCCAAGTTAGCCTGAACTGGACCACATATGTTGGTGTGTCACGACTGCAATAAAATTGATAAACCCATGAATCATTGCACTTTAGGCATGCTATGGGTGTTCTTGAAGTGAACTGATTGTTAGATTTTTTTTCTAAAAATCTATTTTAAATGTGGGTCAAGATAGGCCAAACTTACATGACCCACATATCAATTATTAACATCTGGGCCAAATACTACAATTTACATCTGGCCCAAGTGTTGTGTGCCGCCTTAAAGACCGTGCTACTTTTGCCAAACCAGGACCATTTTTGGCCCACATGCTGTATGCCAGTGCTGGATAAATGCCTGCTGTGCCATATTTATGTTAAATCTGGGTTGGAATTCTTTGCTATCTGGGAAGATTTGCTCTATAGGTGAATTGAATAAGCTAAATTGGCTGTAGTGTATGTGTGTGCATGTGAGAATGTACGAGTGTGTCGCAGTACTGGGTTGCAGCTGGAAGGGTATCCACTGTAAAACATATGCTGGATATGTTGTCAGTTCATTCCGCTGAGGCGACCCCTGATTAATAAAAGGTCTAAGCCAAAGGAAAATGAATGAAAAAATAAATATTACAATATTTTTATTAGTTTTTCAGTTTGCATATTACGACAGCTTTACGCTATATTTAACAATCGTGTAAACACAACAACCCCCCCCCCCTCCCCCCCGATCAAAATATAAAACAATTAAGGGAAAAACATTAAAAAAGATAATTAAAAATGGAATAATAATACATACAAGTAGTAATAATACAAATATAATAATATTTACTTTTATAAGATATTGATATTTGAGATTTTTTCCTAATTCAAATGTTAAAATCCTAAAAGCTAAAAGTAAACATGAAATTAATTTTTTTAATTTGTTGACGTTAAAATAGGATCCCTATTCTTGAATCCCAATGATTTTGAGGCCCACGGCAACATGACATTGGAGTGCAGTTTTCCCCACCCACCGAATCCAATGGCAGGTACCACATCATAACATGTAAACACATGTCCACAGAACATGCAAAGCAACTGGGATTAAAACATGTTACAACTTTCTGTGATCAGCTGCACCTCAATAATTAATTTTATAAGTTTAAAATGTCTTTAAAACTGTGCAAACAGTGTAAAATCGCTATGTAATTCTTTACTGCATATTCACCGCAGCCACATGGTATCAGTAAATGCGCATATATGTGTGTGTGTGTGTGTGTGTGTGTTTGTGTGTGTGTACTGCAAACGGCATTTGTGCGAGACTCATCGTTTCAGAAAGGCTTGAATAAACTCCAATATAATAATATCAAATAAACTTACTTGGTATTTTTTGGGTGCTTTCACACTAGCACTTTTGGTC